CAAATCTTTCATGAATTTAGCATAGCCAGGCATTTTCTCCAAATCCTCCACCAAAGGCACATTGATGGATAAGCTCTTCATCATGTCAATGAACTTTTTGAACTGATTCTCATTTTTCTGCTTGGCTAGCCTTTGAGGATAAGGTGGAGATGGCCTAGTCAAGGGTGCCTTGGCTTTTGGCACAACCGTCTCCGGCATGTCTATTACGTGTTACCTAGATGGGTTCACGTCATTTTGTGTTTCCACCTCGACATATCGAATATCAATCCTCACTTCTTGATTTATTTTTATCAACCGCATTCTCAACCACCAAAAGAACTTCTTCTTCTTCTTGCAACTCAACTTCATCACCCAAAACTTGCTTTTGCTTGGAGGCATTCACATCACTGCCTCGTCCACTCCTTGTAGTTACCGCCATAACATGATTGTTACCACCCTTTGGGTTAATCACCGTATCACTCGGTAGATCCCCCTTAGGGCGAGTATTTAAAGACTGTGACATTTGGCCTAGCTGGACCTCCAAATTCCTGATTGAAATGTTGTGAGAAGCCAATTGCGCATCGGAGTCAACATTCTTTTTCATCATCTGTTCAAACATCATTTCAATTCTACCCATTTCATTGTTGGAAGAACTAGGACCCTAGGATAGAAAAGGCGGTGGGTTGCTCGGTTGTTGGTACATTGGGGGCCTTTGAAAGCCTTGCCCCTGATTTCCTTGGTTATTGTTCCATCCACCCTGATTGTTGTTGTTTCCACCCCAATTGTTGTTGTTGCCCCAGTTTCCCTGATTGTTCCTATTGTTATTTTGATTTCCCCAATTGTTGTTCCCTTGTTGTTGATTGTTCCAATTATTGTTTCCTTGCTGTTGGTTACCCCAATCGCCCTAGGATCTCCATTGTTGTTGTTGGTTAGAAGAATTGCCTTTTGGCCTTGGTAATTATTCGCATATTGCACCTCTTCGTTCTGCCCATCATAACAATCATCTTGGAATCCACCACAGTCATTATAAAATTGATTCGAATTCCCTTGGTTTTGTTGGCCTCTTTGTCTTCTATTGTTTACAAGCATGTTGACACCCTCCATGGCATTTACTTGGCGAGGATTCCGAACTTGTTGCAACTGGGCCTTTGCTAATTGGTTCATTGTTGTTGTAAGTTCTGCTATAGCCTATCCATGGTCATGTAGTTCTTTGTGCAAATGAGCGACCGTGGGGTCACCCTGTGGCACATTGGCTCTACTTTGCCAAGCGAGGATGTGTCCGCCATCTTGTCAAGAACATCACAAGTTTCATCATAAGGCAGCTTCATGAAATTACCCCCAGCCAATTGATTCACTATGCATTGATTCGTTGTATTGATGCCCCGATAAAAGGTCTGTTGTATCATAGCCTCGGTCATATCATTATTGGGGCATTCCTTCGCCATTGTTCTGTATCTCTCCCAAATCTCGTGCAATGGTTCGGTGGGCTCCTGCTTGTAGGCTAAGATTTCATCCCGCAGTGCTTCCATGTGCCCCGGTGAGAAAAATTTGGTAATGAACTTATCCGCCAAATCATCCCAAGTTGTGATGGAATGGTTGGGAAGTCGCTCAAGCCAATCCAATGCCTTCCCTCTAAGTGAAAATGGGAAGAGCCTCAATCGAAGTGCATCCTCGGACACATTGGTTTGCTTGCTCCCCTAAAAGGTATCCACGAACCCCTTAAGATGTTTGTAAGAATTTTGAGTGGCAGCGCCCGTGAAGTACCCACGCTGCTCCAGCAATGTCAACATCACATTAGTAATTTGGAAATTGCCCGCCCAGATACGTGGTGGGACAATTGCACTTGCATAGCCTTGGTTTGGGAGCACTCGAGGAACCGCTCTTGGAGGTGGCAGAGGAGAGTCTGGAATATGTTCATTAACATTGGCCTGGCGGCCTCTTCGTTGTCCTGGAGGTACAAGAGGCACCTCATCCTCTCCATTATCATCAACCTCCTCCCCCGCAATCACGTTTCCAAGAGGGTCATTAGCATTTAATGCCATTTTGTACCTGAAGTTGTGACACACACAAATTAGTAACAAAGAAGGAAAGAAGAACAAAACATAAAACTATTTAGATAGATAGCCAAAACCGTTAGCTCCCCGGCAACGACGCCAAAAAGTGATCGAAGCCAACCCTGCACTACTATTGAGTAGCGAGAGAGGTCGAAGCAGCTTTTACCCGATTTAGGGTCGGGATCGATTTCCACAGGGAGCTAGATATTGGAGCTGGGTGTCTATCTAAAGTGGAGTTGTGTATTTGCTCCAAATTGCACTTCTACACATTTTTGGTTTTAATTATGATTCTAATTTTATAAAACTACAATGCTCAATTAAACTAAAATAAGCTAGGATTAAACTATTGCGAGTTGTTCAAATGATTAAAAGGCACTAGGGTGGTGGCTTTCGCCTAGGTGGTCAATTGACGGATTCTTGAGTCTAAAGCTAGATTGTCACATTTGGGGAGTATGATATAACCAATGCTCGATTCTACTCACTCTATACCTCTCGGTACTTCGAGTGATTTTGCCCGAATTGATTTTCTCAAGACCAATTGGGTATGCAAATTTGCACAAGCAATTAAGGTTCAAGTCGGGTATTATGATCTCTCGGTTTAACCCTTTAATTGGGGCTATCAATTCTCTTGAGTAACCCCAATTCCTTGTTGGACTAAATTTAGAGACTTAGGCTCTCTTACTCAAGAAGAACCAAAGTCAACTAAACACAAACTAGTGTTTGCAACCACTAATTTAGTAATTAAACATGAAATTAGCCCAAATATCAAACACCCATAGTCAATCAAGCCCTAAAATTCAAGACCCATCAATTACCCGCACTAGGGTTGAGCCACAACCTTAGCTGATGGGTCTAGCTACTCATAATTAGAGAGAAAAATAAAGAAATAGATGAAGATAAACTCATAATAATTAATTACTAAAAAGAACTTGAAGATTCAATGGTGAAATTAAGCTAAAATTACTAGAAATAGCAAAATAACCCAAGTCACGAGCGCAGCTCCACGTAAAAAACTTTCTGCTTCCCTAAAAATGGGAAAAGAATCTATTTACACTAGGCTAAAAATATCGGACAAAAATACCCCTGCGGGGCTAGTGCGGACCGCACAAAATCACGTGCGGCCGCACTAAGGCTCTTGACTTGAATTTCCAGCTCTCTGAACTTGGGCAATGCGGACCGCACAAAGTCTAGTGCGGCCGCGGTGGCTTCTAGTGCGGTCCGCATGAAATGGAGCGCGGACCGCATTGGGCTTCAAACTTGAAATTGGCAACTCTCTGAACCTTCTCTCTGCGGATCGCACTAAATCGAGTGCGGCCGCATTGATCCCAGTACGGACCGCACAAAACCTCGTGCGCCCGCATTGCCTTTGTGCCTGAATAGCAGCCTCTCTGAACCTCACTTGTGCGGATCGCACAGAATGGTGCGCGGCCGCACTGGCCCTGTTTTGCCTGAGCTTTGGCTTGTCTTGGTACTTGTGCAAGTTTCACTCCTTTTTTGAGCTGATCTTTGACACCTTGTCACCTTGTTGATCAAACCTGCAATCAAGCACAACTTGTGATCCTTTGGGACTATTTTGTACACATTTCTAATCAAAGCTTGAGCATGAAGGAGTATAAAATGCGTCATATTCCCTAGTTATCAAGCACCAAGCAGAATTGAGCTCGAAACATCACAAGAAGTTGTTCATAGTATCGAACATGTACCGGAGAAATTGAACGCCAATGAATCGGGGACTGATCCCGCCATTATGAAGATGCTCGAGGAGCTCACTAAGCGGATTGAATTAGCTGAAAGGAAAATTGAGGCTAATGAAAAAAGGTAGAAACGTACAACTCACGGGTTGACCAAATACTGGGGGTACCCCCAATTGTAAAGGGTATGGATTCGAAGAAGTTCGTGCAGAAGCCTTTCCCTCCAAGTGCGACTCCGGAGCCCATTCCTAAGAAATTTCATATCCCGGAAATCCCCAAATACAATGGGACCACCGACCCTAAAAAGCACGTGACTTCTTACACATGCGCAATAAAGGGGAATGACTTAGAAGATGATGAGATTGAATCCGTTCTATTGAAGAAATTTGGAGAAACTTTATGAAAGGGTGCCATGATATGGTATCATAACTTACCACCCAACTCTTTTGATTCGTTTTTATGCTCGCAGATTCTTTTGTGAAGGCCCACGTCGGAGCCATTAAAGTTGGAACAAGGAAATCAGACCTCTTCAAGGTAAGACAGAAGGATAACGAGATGCTCAGGGAATTCGTATCTCGGTTCCAAACAAAGAGAATGGATTTGCCTCCAGTCACCGGCGACTGGGCTATTCAAGCTTTTACATAAGGTCTTAACACTCGGAGCCCATAACTTCACAACAGTTGAAGCAAAATTTGATCGAATATCTAGTTGTCACTTGGGCCGATGTACACAATCGTATCACTCGAAGATTAGGGTCGAAGATGACCAATTAGGAACTCCTATTGGTTCGATTTATCCCAACAGGCCCGTGGACAGAGTTAAAAGGGACGTCGATTGGGCACCACGATTGAATAGAGATAGATACCAGCCATATAGTGGAGATCGGAGAAATAACGGGCCTGGAGGCAACCCCGTACGGAATAATAGAAGGAATGATCGGGGACAGAGTTCCTGGGGGCTTAGAAGCAAAAGCAGTTTCGATAGGGATGTTGGGCCCAAAGAGGCACCTCGATTGTCAGAATACAACTTCAACATCGATGCATCATGTATTGTATCAGCCATTGGTTGGATTAGGATACTAGAATGGCCCATACCCTTTTAGACCGATCCAGAAAGGAACCCTAATCAAATGTGCAAATACCATGCTACCCATGGTCATAGAAGCGAAGACTACAGACAGTTAAGGGAGGAGGTAGCCCGTCTATTCAACGAGGGTCACCTTCGAGAATTCTTAAGTGATCGGGCCAAGAACCACTTCATAGAGGGAGATTCGAACATGCAGAACGAGCAGGAAGAGCCACAGCATGCAATTCATATGATCGTTGGTGGCGTCGATATCCCTAAAGGACCGGTATTCAAACACACCAAAGTGACAATCACGAGGGAAAGCAACTCGGGACTACTTACCAGAAGAAACCTTGTCTTTCAACGACGAGGACGCAAAAGGGATCGAAAACCTCACAATGACGCACTGGCAACATCTATCCAAATGAATAAAATTCAAGTTAAACGTGTGTTGAATTATTCGGGTAGCTCGGCAAATATTATTCAATCAAGTGTTGTAGAGGAACTCGGCATTCAAGATCAGATTGTGCCGGCAGCTCGGGTACTTAACGGCTTCAACATGGCAAGTGAAACCACCAAAGGGGCAATCATTATACCAGTAAACGTGGCCGGGACTATCCAAGAAACAAAATTCCATGTGGTTGAAGGCGACATGAGGTACAACGCGCTGCTCGGAAGGCCGTGGATTCATAATATGACAGTAGTGCCCTCGACGTTTCACTAAGTCTTTAAATTACCAACATCAGAAGGAATCAAAACGGTGTACACTGAACAACCCGCCGCCAGGAAATATTTGCAATCGATGAGGTGATACCAGTATTGGCGATGTGATCAACAAAGAGATTGGAATCGAAGGGAAAACAAGAAGTCAAATAGCAACCACAGTCGCCGGCCTCGACCCGATCGGAGGAGCAGGAAACTTTTGAGGATGGTGATTATATGATACCTCGAACCTTCATAATCCCCGATGATTCCAATGCAATGAAGTCAATGGTCGAAGAGCTGGAAAAAGTCATACTGATCGAGCATCTGCCCGATCGAAAGGTATACATGGGCATGGGGCTAACTCCCGAGCTCAAGAAAAAGCTTGTTCAATTCCTTTCAAATAACATGGACTGTTTTGCTTGGTCCTACTTAGATATGACAGGGATCCCACTAGAGATCACTACGCATCGACTGAGCTTGCACTCGAAGTTTCGCCCGGTGAAACAAAAGAGAAGACCTCAGTACGAGGTAAAACATGCATTCATTAAGGACGAGGTAACGAAACTTCTCAATATAGGATCCATTAAGGAGGTAAAATTTCCCGAACGGTTAGCAAACGTAGTTGTAGTCCCTAAAAAGGGAAACAAACTTAGAATGTGCGTAGACTATAAGGATTTAAACAAAGCGTGCCCTAAAGATTCCTTTCCTTTGCCGAATATCGATCGCATGATCGATGCCACGGCCAGCCACGAGATCCTTAGTTTTCTAGATGCCTACTCTAGGTACAATCAAATATAGATGAATCCGGAAGATCAGGCAATGACTTCACTCATCACTAAGTACGACACCTATTGCTATAATGCAATGCCATTTGGACTAAAAAATGTTGTTACTACTTATCAACGCCTAGTAAATCGAATGTTCGAAGAACAAATAGGTAAATCAATGGAGGTTTATATTGATGATATGCTAGTTACATCCCTACGAGCAGCAGACCATTTGAAACATTTGTAGGAGACCTTCAATATACTGAGAAAGTATAACATGAAGCTTAACCCGGAGAAATGTGCATTCAGGGTCGGCTCGGGCAAGTTCCTCGGCTTTATGGTATCAAATCGGGGGATCAAAATTAACCCCGATAAAATCAAGGCAATCGAATACATCACAGTTGTTCTCACTGCTTAAGAAAAAGAGAAATTTCGCATGGACCCCGTAATGTCAATAGGCTTTGGAGGAACTCAAACGATACATGTCGAGCCCGCCATTGCTTCACACCCTAATGGCGAAAGAGCAACTTTACTTGTACTTAGCAGTCTCGAAGATAGCGGTAAGTGGGGTCTTAGTTCGAGAAGAGCAAGGTACGCAATTTCCTATCTATTATGTCAGTCGGACCTTAGGAGAAGCCCAGACCCGGTACCCACACTTAGAAAAATTAGCGCTTGCTTTAATAAGCGCCTCTAGGAAATGAAAACCATATTTTCAATGTCACCCAATTTGTGTTATAACCACCTATCCCCTTCGCAACATTTTGCACAAGCCCAAACTCTCTGGCCTATTGGCCAAATGGGCCATCGAGATCAGCGGGTACGATATCAAGTATCAACCCCGATCGTCCATCAAGTCTCAAATCTAGGCAGACTTCGTGGCCGACTTCACGCCAGCCCTCGTACCCGAGGTCGAAAAGGAACTATTATTAAAATCGGGTACATCATCGGGGGTGTGGACCTTCTTCACGGACGGTGCTTTGAACTTGAAGGGGTCCGGGCTAGGCATCATTTTGAAGCGACCCACAGGTAATACGATTAGACAGTCTATCAAAACTTCGAAATTAACTAACAATGAGGCCAAGTATGAGGCCATGATTGTAGGTCTCAAGTTAGTTAAGAGCTTGGGAGCGGAGGTCATCGAGGCCAAGTGCGACTCCCAACTTGTGGTAAATCAAGTCAACGGAACTTTCGAGGTTCGAGAAGATTGAATGTATAGATACTTGGAAAAATTGCAAGTGTCTCTACATCGATTTAAATAATGGACCCTACAACACGTACCTCGAGAACAAAATAGCAAGGCTGATGTCCTTGCAAATTTGGGGTCGTCGATCGAAGATGATGAGCTTAGCTCGGGGACTGTCGTGCAACTTTCAAGTTTAGTAATCGAAGAAGGACACGCCGAGATAAACTCCACAAGTCTAACCTAGGATTGGAGGAATAAGTACATCGAATACCTAAAGAAGGAAAAGATTCCATCGGATCCTAAAGAATTAAGGTCTCTACGCACTAAGGTCGCACAGTTCATTTTGGCTGAGGATGGAACATTGTATATGAGAACGTTCGATGGACCGTTAGCAAAATGTTTGGGACCAGGAGACACCGATTACGTTCTATGAGAAATTCATGAGGGCACTTGCGGAACCTATTACGGTGCCGAGTCATTGGTTCACAAAGTCATCAGAGTAGGATACTATTGGGTCGATATGGAAAAAGACACTAAAGAATTTGTTCGAAAATGCGACAAATGTCAAAGGTATGTGCTGATGATCCATCAGCTCGGAGAGAAACTTCACTCAGTCCTATCCCCATGGCCGTTCATAAAATAGGGGATGGATATCGTCGGCCCTCTTCCATCGGCCCCGGGTAAAGCTAAATTCATTTTGTTTATGACTAAGTATTTTTCTAAGTGGGTTGAAGCACAGGCCTTCGAGAAAGTCAAAGAAAAAGAAGATATAGACTTCATCTGGGATCACATTATATGCCGATTCGAAATGCCCGCCGAGATCGTATGCGACAATGGAAAGCAATTCGTCGGCACCAAAGTGACGAAGTTTTTCGAAGATCACAAAATAAAAAAGATCCCGTCAACACCGTATCATCCTAGTGGGAATGGACAGGCTGAATCAACAAACAAGACCGTCATCCAAAATCTGAAGAAAAGATTGAACGAAGCCAAAGGAAAATGGAGAGAAGTATTTTCCCGAGGTCCTTTTGGCGTATCAAACAACGTCAAAATCCAGTACGGGGGCAACACCGTTCTCTTTCATCTACGGTGCCGAAGCTCTTATCCCGATCCAAGTCGGGGAACCTAGCTTCAGGTTTCGGTATGCAACGGAAGCGTCAAACCACGAGGCTATGAATACGAGAATCAAATTGCTAGATGAAAGGCGGAAAGCCGCCCTCGTTCGAATGGCCGCACAGAAACACTAGATCGAGAGGTATTACAACCGAAGAGCCAATCTTTGACACATTAAAATCGGGGAATTAGTTCTGAGAAAGGTCACCATTAATACTCGGGATCCAAATGAGGGAAAACTTGGCCCGAACTGGGAAGGACCATATCAGGTCCTCGATATCGTCGAAAAAGGATCCTACAAACTTGGCATGATGGACGGCGAGCAATTACCAAACAATTGGAACATATCACTCCTCAAACGATATTACTGCTAATGTACGACCTTCTCCATTTTCATTTATATTGTATACTAACTGTCGACGCCCCCTTTTTCCTTGCGGAATCGGGTTCACGACATTCGGGAGGACAACTCTATTCCCTTGCGAGAATTGGGTTTTTGGAGTTTGAAGAGTCGCCACCTAATGATTATAGTGCATTAGGACACTTTAAGGAAGAATTTGAGATGAAGAACCAGAGTTTGGGTAAGGGATAGAAATTATCTCGAGGGGAAGGTGTTAGGCACCCCTCAAGATCCACTAGTGTGGTTCCCGGCCATGCTACAATTGTGATTTTGAATGCAAACAAACGAGTAAACAAGCAAGCATTGCAAATACGAGAAAACTATTACAAACAAGGAGCACAAAAGGTAAAAAAAAGTGTTGAATTTTAAGGAAGGAGCGGTTTAGTTAAAAGTGCAAGTAGGAAGAAGTCAAGTACTTAGTGCGAACAATCTGAAAATTATGTGAAAAACAGAAGTCGAAAGTGCAACAGCTTTTTAAGATTCAGAAAATTGTTAAACTAATAAAGAGGGAGGGGGGTCCTAGGTTTATATATTACATGGATCATTCGCACAACACTGGTACTCAATTGTACGCATAGTGTTATCGTGTAATCATCATCTCCATGTCTACCCTTTCCCACCCCGTTAAGGTATTGGAGCACGGAATGATATCGTTTGCCTATCGCATGCTATTACCCGTCCCAAGCTATCAGTCCCGGGGCATTAGGACTTCTAATCCTAAAAGGGGAAGAAAGGGATGGGGGCCTTTATGGAGTTTAAAGGACAAAATTCTAATCGACATTCAAAAACAAGTAACAAGTAGGGGGAATGAACAGACAAACAGGTAAGGCTCACATAAACCCCGTAAATCAGATAACATATAGTTTAGCATGCCTTTACACATACTGGTTTGGTCTTTAAAATTAAAAATTAAGCAGCGAGCGGACTGGTTCGATACATATGTTTAGACAGGAAGCCCACATTAGGCAACTTGGATCCAATTGTCAGAACTTAAGATATTTTAAGCGAGTGATTTAGAAAGTACTGGTTCTAGAAAAGTAGTCTAATGCCGGAAAGTACAGACTGCAGTCAGTTTAGAAATAAGTTTTAAGAGAATCATGAGTATAAACCATAAAAGGAGTTCCAGAGTCAGAAATACTTAAGGAAAGAGTAAACTGCAGAAATGTTTTAAAGACAATTTCAGGAAGACCAAAACTTAGTTGGAAAATGTTTAGGCAGAATTTTAGAAAGAAACCATTTCAGAAGAGGTGCTGATTTGAAGAACTCAAATGTATACTGATTCAAAAGAGTTTTTGTCAAAAGATTGAGGCTGAAAACATTAAGACATTAGAGACCAGTTAACAGATTGTTATTGCTTAAGAGGAATCGGACGAACTTGATGCGGAATCCTATGATATCTATATCTGATTTAAAAAGTCTGTTAAGAACTGGTAAGAAGAGGTAATTATTTAATTACCCTACAGTTTGCCTAATGCATATGCATTCCCTATAGGCATGATTTCTATATGCACTGATTACATGAACGTTAAGGTCCTATAGGCAGGATTTCTAGATGA